AAAAAAAAAAAAAAAAAAAAAAATTCCCAGGCCAGGGATTTAAATCAGTGGCACTGTACCTGCCTGGCAAGCACAAGGTCTGGAGTTCAGTCCCCAGTACCAAAAATAGAAGAAAAAAACTGACTCCAGTATATATTCTTTATAATACTAGCTATAATAATGCCTGTATCTTTAGGTTTGACTCATACAATGCTTTGCACAATAGTAACTGCTCAGTAAATGAAGCTACTATTGTTAATGCAAGAGATCAAAGAAAGGGAAATATCATTTTCTGAAAAACTCCTATAAACCAGCACTGTGTTAGTCATTTATATAGTTTAGCTCATTTAATCCTCCTACCAAGCAACATGGGTAACAGTATTTCCATCTTACACATGAGGACAGGCTCAGAGGTACTAAATTTGCTGGGGTTCTGTTCCCTCTACCTCATTTCCCCCACTTGACTGATTCACCCATCAGCCACAGGGCTAACAACGCATATCAACTTCAGCTATTCTTTTGAGGTAAGGTGTGATGTTAACCAAAAGTAACTCAATCTTAAACAATAATTAAATCTGTTTAAATCATACAAATTTGTTCTCATAAGAATTTGTATTTATATAAAATATCATGCGTGTATGTTGTGTGGCACTGGAAACTGAACCCAGGGTCTTCACACTGAACTACATCCCCACCCCTTTTTTATTTTGTTATTTAGAGACAAGAAGTCACTAAATTGCCCAGGCTAGACTTGAACTTGCAATTGCTCTGACTCAGTCTCTTGGATAATTGGGACTACAGGTGCACACCACATGCCTAGCTATAATTTTTTATATTTTAAAATGAAAAACAAATTACAGCCTTGAGCATAAAATCAGAAACAGGAAGGGGTGCCCTGGATTAAAGGAACTGCAGCAAGAAGAGCTCAAAGCCTTTTCTTAAACACAACTGCAGAGGTGCAAACCTTCCCCACCTTACAGAGTGAGAATCTGATAGGAGACATAGATTACAGTCAGCTCTTGGTCAGGTCCCAAATATGCTGTTTCCTCTTACTATCTATTCCTTGGCAAATGCTACCCCTTGGTTTTGGAGTGCCCTTTCATTTTTCACTACAGAAATTATCACTTCTTCAAAACCCAGTGCAAATTTCCTTTTAGTAGCTTTCTCTGACACCCCATCTTAAAGTTAATTGCTTAAGTGTGACCCAGTAACAGGTTTTTTTGTTTTTCTTTTGTGGTACTGGAGAATGAACCCAGGGCCTCTGCATTGAGATGTGTCTCCACTACTTTGTATTTTTTGAGACAGGGTCTCATTAAATCACTAAGTTACCCAGGCTGAGCTCAAATTTATAATCTTTCTGCCTCAGTCTCCTGAGTAACTGGAATAACAGGTGCACACCACCACACATGGCAAGTTTATATGGTGGCAGATATTTGTTTCTCCTACTAGTAGTAATTTTCAGAATTGGGGGAAAGACTGGAAGACACCAATATAGGGGCATGTGTGCACATGTGTGTGTGTTTGTCAGACCCTTTCACTTTTTTTTTTTTTTTTTTGGTACCGGGGATTGAACTCGGGTCCTTGCACTTGCAAGGCAGGCCACCGAACTGCTGAGCTAAATCCCCAGCCCTCACATATTTTAAATATATATACCATTAAAGTAAAGCAAGATGTTAGTTTTTTTCAGTACTGGGACTTGAACTCAGGACCTTGTACTTGCCAGGCAGATGCGTCACCACTGAATCCCATCCCTGACCCTAGGTGTATTTTTTAAATCCAAATGATGAATGTACTTTTTCCCCCTTAATAGTGCTGGGGATAGAACCCAGGGCCTTGCACATGTAGGCAAGCACTCTGCCTGAACTACATCCCCAAGCCACTCATGCATTTTAAAAGCCTGAGAAATGTTGAATTAGATTCTTAAGGAAAAGGAATACATTTTATTCATTCATGTATTCCTAGCACTTCACACAGGGCCAGGCACAAAGTGTGAGGAAAGACCTGAATGGATTAACATGCCTGAAATCATGATGCCAACTGTCTGGAATTAGAACATGTCAGAACAGCACACAGCCTAAACACCAAACAAAGGTTCTTTTCTTTCTCTATCCTTCAAGCGCACCCATTCTGTCAGA